TCTCTCCTCCTCCTTCTCTCCCCCGTCATGCATCCTCCTCTCTCCTCCTCTTCTCTCTGCTCACCTCCTCCTTACTCTCTCTCTCTCCCCCTCATCAGCTCCACTCTCCTCCTCCTCTCCTCCTCTTCCCCCTCCTTCCTCCTCCTCCACCTCCTCTCTCTCAGCCATCGCTGTCCAATCTGCTGTTGGCTTTTTGGTTAAAATAAGACAGATGAATAATGCAGCGTCTGTTGAACATAATCACAGAGAAATGAAGAAGTAGAGTCTGCTCTGCGTCGTGTTTTTCCTAAATCCGGTCTCATTGAGGATTACAGCCTCGAGTTTAGAGAATATATTTAGAGGAAATATTAAAAAGTTGGATGTGGAGTCTTGCCCTTAGTCCAGGTTCACTGCAGCAACAACTTTTTTATTAAAACTAAAGTTTTTAGTTTTTTAGTTTTTAGCCGGTAGCAGTGGTCTTAAAGCTTTAGCCATTTATAAACTCTCTTTTAGCTGAAATTCCAGTGGGGCGGGTCCCGGCTCAAAGTGCAAATGACGGCGCTGACATGCTGCGAATTACCACCCGTGCCTGTGGGTGGACCCGGAAGAGAATTAGCCATGCTACTAATCGATAGCATTAGGTGAAAACCTTTCAAAAACGTCTTTTCAGGATGGTCACAAAAAGTAGGCTCTTGGTGGCCCAAAGCCTAGCTCCTTCCACATGTGTTGTCAAATGATTCATGCTGGGGGAGTGGTTTTTGGTTGGTCCACTCAATTTTACTCACTGTGAATTTTTGAAGTCTCGTCGTTTCAAATGAAAATGGAGCTTGCTCCGGCTGAAACGCATGCGCAGATGGCTTTTTTCTTTTCATTTTGCCATTTTTTATTTTTCACAATTTTCTTGGTGGGGGGCGGGACCTACTTGCGCCATTTTCTGGATAGCTCCATATGAGCAAATTTTTTGGCCCATTAAGTTAAACGGCAAGAGAACAGTCTGTATACTATATTAACTCTGTCCGTTAATATAATAGCAGTCTATGGTGGTGAGTCCTGTGTCAGTCCCCTGTAGTGTCTCAGGTGTGCGTCTGTGGTGTTGTCTCGGTGTGAGTCCCTGTGTGTCTCTAGTGTGGTCTGGTGTGTCGCTGTGGTTCATGTTGTGTGTCTCTGTGTGTGTCTGGTGTGTGTCTCTGTGTGGTCTGTGTGTCCCTGTGTGTCCCTCAGTGTGCTTCTGGTGTGTCTGTGTTGTGGTGTCTGTGTGGTCGTATCTGTAGAGTCTTGTGTGGCACTGTGTGAGTCTGTGTGGCTCGAGGTGTGTCCTGTGGTGGCTCAGTGTGCGTCTGTGTGTGTCCCTGTGTGTCTCTGTGTGCAGCTGTGTGTGTTTTGTTTTTTTTCCCTCTGTGTGGTGGTCTCGAGTGGAGTCTGTGTGTCTGTAGGAGTCTGGTGTGTCTCTGTGTGTGTCGTGTCTTTCCCTGTGTGACTCTTTGTGAGTCTTGTGCATCTCGTGTTCTCTGTTGTGTCTCTCTGCGTGAGGCTTGGTCTCTGTGTGGTTCTCTGTGTGCGTCTGTGTGCGTCTGTGTGTGTGAGGTGAATAATTGAATGCTTGGTCAGGAGGTAACATACTTTCCACACATAAAAGATTTTCAGTTGTTAAGCAAATCCATGTGATGTTCCTCGCTCGGTTCTACTGGTTCTATAAAAACGCTACGAGTGTTCATTTCCACACTTAGGCCTGTGGGACATCCCTACATCAAGCATCACTCAGCTTTTCAAGTGCAAAAGTCAGGATCATAGACTAAATATTAATGGACTAACTGAAAACTCTTCCCCCACGTTATAATGTATGTTCCACAGACAAGGGCAGAATCAAAATGGGGCAGCCCCTCCAACAGGAATGAAGTGAAACCCGGCTCCAGCCTCATTCATTTCTCGTTGGAATGTGCTGGAAACAACAGCACGTCCTCAGTGTCTCTGAAGTAGTTGTTTAATTGTATTTTACAATTGTCGTTTTTCTTCTTTTTTTCTGCCTGAGACGTCTCTGTAGTACATGGTTTTACACTGGTCCAGACCAGAGAGAGGATTCATGGTTTTACACTGGTCCAGACCAGAGAGAGGATTCATGGTTTTACACTGGTCCAGACCAGAGAGAGGATTCATGGTTTTACACTGGTCCAGACCAGAGCAGAGAGGATTCATGGTTTTACACTGGTCCAGACCAGAGCAGAGAGGATTCATGGTTTTACACTGGTCCAGACCAGAGCAGAGAGGATTCATGTTCTGGACCAAGCGGATCAGGCAAAAATCCACTGAGGCTAACATTTTGAGAAATGCTAATGAACCATTTAGCATACTGCATGTTTACATACTGCGAATATGCAGTAAACAAATATAAAATATTAGGTAGTAATTGCTTGATTTTTTATCTTAAAATGAGTTCATTATGACTGTTTTAAAACATAATTTGCCAATGGGACTAAGCCTGTTGCTTTATCTCATTCCAAGGGATATTTCTTGTATCATTTTCAAACCGGATAATTTTGCTTTTTCCAATTGGCTAAATCTTCTTTTAAGCCATTCTTTAATTTGAGCCATTTTTGACTTATTTTCCATCCCTTTTTGCAGTGTGGTTTCTCATGTTTCTCCTCAAAATTACGATTAAATTAGCATTCCCAGTTTTGCGTCTCCAACGAGCCAACAGCGTCACCGCTCGTTGTCATTGGAGACCGTTTGTGTTGTTTTGCAGTTACCGTTGTCGTTGGTACAGTATGTGGAACCCGAGAGCTCCCTGTGGGTCTGCTCTGTCATCGTCAGGAGGTCGTTAGCGTCCTCGGGCTCTGGTTTCCCCCCTGGACTCGGGTCTGAGGGGAGCGGAGAGGACGGAGGACTCTGTGGGGCCCGATCAAAGGGACACAGCTTTTATCATCAGCGAACGGCACAAGGACAAGGTCGAAGTGTTTTGTGGCGTTTCATCCAGTTCAATTAGAGGTTAAAAGCCGGCGCCAGCAGCTAAACAACACAATGGTTGATTTGTGCAGCCACTCCAATGTTTAAGTGTGGTTTTTACAAGAGTACAATGTTAATCTAATGTACACTGCAAAAACATGATCAAATACAAGATAACAAATGCTTGAATAAATAAGTCCAAAGCAATAAACATCTAAGCTAAAAAAACGGCTCTAAAACAGGGCTTAAAGACGGCTAAAATAGAGGCAGCATTCCAGACCCATGCACACAGAATCTGGAACAGTCTTCCCGAAGGTGTAAGACAGGCTCCTACCTCAGCTATGTTATGAAAACTGATCATAATTTTATTGTTGATATGTATATTTATTCATTATCTTAAACTGTCTTTTGTATTTGTTTTTACGGTTTGTTTTGAAATTGCTTTTAAATGTTGCCGATGTGAAGCACTTTGGGTTGTATTCTGTATGAACTGTGCTATAGAAATTAAAATGGATTGATTGATTGATAAAATCATGGATAAAAATCTGCTGCTGTTCAGTCCTTAGTTCTGATCACGAGTGTTTCGCTTCCCCCAAGTCTGACCCCGAGTCTGGCCCCGAGTCTAGCCCCGAGTCTAGCACCGAGTCTGACCCCGAGTCTGGCCCCGAGTCTAGCCCCGAGTCTAGCACCGAGTCTGGCCCCGAGTCTGGCCCCGAGTCTGCCCCCGAGTCTAGCCCCGAGTCTGGCCCTGAGTCTGGCCCCGAGTCCTGCCACGAGTCTTGCCACGAGTCTAGCCCCGAGTCTTGCCCCGAGTCTGGCCCCGAGTCTGGCCCCGAGTCTAGCCCCGAGTCTAGCCCCGAGTCTTGCCACGAGTCTTGCCCCGAGTCTGGCCCCGAGTCTGGCCCCGAGTCCTGCCACGAGTCTTGCCACGAGTCTAGCCCCGAGTCTTGCCCCGAGTCTGGCCCCGAGTCTGGCCCCGAGTCTAGCCCCGAGTCTAGCCCCGAGTCTTGCCACGAGTCTTGCCCCGAGTCTGGCCCCGAGTCTTGCCCGAGTCTAGCACCGTTCTCCTCCGGCTTCCTCTTCGTCCCTCCCCCTCGCCGTCTTTTGTACCCGATGCACAGGTGTTGTACTTGTCTGTGTGACGTGAGGAGCCGGGGTGGTTCAAATGGTGAAATTGAATAAAAATAATAAAAACACACAACATGCTTTAAAATAGAAAAAAAAACCCTCGTGCTACGGTGTGTGTGACGGGCAGAGGGACCGGTCTGATCTGCTGGAATGGTTTAATGTGATATTCATGAATTTGTCTGTGCGTAACTGGTCCAATGTATATATGTTTTTTTAGCTGTTACTGTGAAAATGGGAACACACACCTCAGTACAAGCATTAATTCAGTATTTACAACCAACCCTTGATCTTTGAGGGGAGCTTTAAGTCCACAGTCCACAACATACTGTCTTTATCTTATGTGATCTTGTGTATACTGGTATCAGAGAGCCCTGTGAGCCACTATTTATGCTGAGAGCTGATTGGCTGAGCAAAGGTGGTCCTCTCTTTTTCACTTAATAAAACCCACCACCGCTTTTGCACCCGCCGACACAGCTCCGCCAGATCGTCCAGAAACAATTCGTCATATTTCTCTCTCTCGTCGATGTGTAATATTTTTTGACTTTGAGGCTCCACAGAATCTCCTCTGAGCTGTGTCCAAACGAGAACATAAACTCTCGCACGTCACTCGGGTTCATAAACATGTGTCCTTGAAGTAACTATGGCGATAGCGTTCAGAAAATATTGAGCATCACGGCTAAAACTTTCATTTAAGTTTTTATTCATTTGTTTATTCCAAAACCAGCTCTTAAAGTAGCAACATGTAAGATTTTCATGTCCAGTCATCATTAAAGGACCTTAATCTGTCAAAAGGCATTAATAAAACATGCTCTTTTCCAATCCTTCTTTAACGGATAACAGTAGTTCAGAGATGTTTGAATTATAAATTAATTTTCCAGCCTCTAAATCTTGTTGTTTTCATTTCCATGTCCCGCCCTCCACCGTTTCACCAATCAGAAAGTCTGTGATCCGGGCGCCAGAACTCACCGCGTGGAGCTAATCTCACTGGTAAAGTACCATGTGGCGCAGAACTAAAAAAGGTCTCGTTATGATTCTCAAATCATTAACGACAAAACAAGGAATAAAACCAGGATTTCTATCTTTGTGAAAAAGGTGTTGGTTATAGATTTATTGTTGACAAAACTCTTGTGTATTCAGCTGTTATGGTCCCAGCTGGATTCGTCTGCATATCTGGAAACCTGAGTCAGGGAGAGTGGGAGAGGCTGCAGTACCACTTTTGGCCACATGTTTAAATACTGCTCCTTTAACATCATTTGACAAACCTTCTTCACTTCAACAGGGTCACCCCCACTTAGGACCCAAGTGTACCTCCGCTTTAAGAGATAATTCCAATTGAAACTTGTCACTTTTGTTGTACATAATTATTGTCACTTTTATTGTACATATATCCTGCATGTAACATGTTTGCACCTGTTTTCCTCCTTTTGCACAATCTGAGTGTCTCTATCCATGCCAAAATGTGACATGTAAATTTCTCCTCTGTGAGATAAATAAAGCACATCTTATCTTATCTTATCTTAATCACAGTACGTTCAAAAGTGTGTCGATAGATGGTTCTCAGTCCTCTCTCTGCTGCACACCTGCACCTGTGTCCATCAGCGTTTAAACAGAGCCTCTCAGTCCCTGCTTTAAGCTGCTGTTCGTGTGGCAACCCACCTCCTCCCCGTCACTGTCTCTTTAAAAGGAGGAATTGTCACGTTTTCAGCTCAGCTTCCTCCACCACCCAGATCTAGACCGGGAGCGTTCTGCAGACGTCATGCAATATTATGTCACATGTCGTGCATCTGTGCAATAGTTTAAAATAATATCAGAATGTGCAACATAGAGCCACATGTGTCACTTTGTCCCAGACCCTCTTGCTCCCAACATGCACCTAACATGTAAACATACAACTATACATACAACTACATACTAGAATATACAGAATGTTATACTAGCTTCTTTATTATGCTAAAGCTAGAGATTTTATACTTTCTTTTTGATTATGGTAAAGCTAGAGATGGTACGTATTTAAAATGTATTCTCAGTGTGACAGGAGCCAGTGTAAGGACTTCAGGACAGGAGTCATGTGGTCTCTCCTGTGAGTGCAGGTCAAAGGCCTCGCAGCAGAAGTTTTAACTTGTAAATGAGTCAGATCTTTTTTGTTTTTGTAAGCAGCTGATACAGTCGTCCATGTCCCATACACAAACGCAGGGAATTTAATTGAAAGTTAGGTACCCCAGCTTTACGTTTTTGTGCTGATGCATCCTTTATGGTAAAAGAGATATATATTTGTAAGTCTGTAAGTCATCTTTTTTTATATGGCACATTTTTACAGACCAAGGTTCATAGTTGATTAGATATGTTCTTTGGAGCTATAGCTCGGCTCAGTCTCCGTCTGAGCTCAGCACTTGCTCTGACGTGTGAAGCTGAATGTGACGAAAATACAAATCTGAATCAAGGAACTATTATGGTCATATTGAATTTCCTTTTCTGTGAATGAGCTGAGAACAGGAAGTGAGTGAAATGTGCTCGTTCGACTCTAATCTCTGTTTGGTTAAAGCCATTCTGCACACCTCACATCCGACTTATCATTTCCTCTCATTAAAGCAGAAGCAGACCAGAGAAATCTGGATTTTCTGGGTTAAAAATACCGTCTTCTGATGTATTTGTGACGGTGTCAATGTCTCTGAATAATCAGCTGCGTGCTGATTGGCCGATGGGAATCTGTCTGAGGACGAGACGAGAACTCACACACAACAACATTCAAATCTATGAGACCGAAGGATTCATGAGAGAGTTTGAGGAAGACAGACTACAGAGAGAGAGACTCTCTACAGAGAGAGAGAGACCTAGAGTAAGGACCAGAGAGAGAAAGAGACCAGAGAGAAACTGGAGAGAGACTAGAGAGAGACAAGAGAGAGACTAGAGAGAGACCAGAGAGAGACCACAGAAAGATTAGAGAGAGACTACAGAGAGAGAAAGAGAGACCAGAGAGACCACAGAGAGACCAGAAAGAGACCAGAGAGAGACCAGAGAGAGACCAGAGAGAGACCAGAGAGAGACCAGAGAGAGACCACAGAAAGATTAGAGAGAGACTACAGAGAGAGAAAGAGAGACCAGAGAGACCACAGAGAGACCAGAGAGATGTATTATCCTCCGGTCCTGACCAAGAGTTTCTCAAGGATCCAGGGATTGGGTCAAACACAAAAACAGTCAACATTCCACGTTACGTGAGATACTTCTTTCCGTTAATTTTTCGGTATCATTTTCCTTTTCGTCCCAACTATCTGCAGTGTTTTTGCAGTGACTCCGACTGTGACTAATCCTTGTCCTGCGTGTGTCCGTGTCCCTGAGCTTGAAGCCGTTTTGAATGAAATAAACGAAGGTGAAAGCGAGTGCCCTGTTTGTGACGAAGGTTTGTAGCGAGGCCAATGTTTAAGGTGAAACAAGGTCATTAAAACAGATGAAAGCCAAGGCATAAAGTGACTTGTGTGAGAGAGAGAGAGAGAGAGAGAGGAGGTTGTTCCCTTGAATGTGAAATAAAAAATGCAAATACAAAGTTACGGCAGAGCACAGAGGAGAGTTGACAATTTAGCAAATATATATTCACGGTAGATCAGTCATAAAGAGACCACTCAAACATATGAGAGTTTGTTTGGCTCGAGCGACATATTTGGAGTGACACAGGGAAGAGAGGGATGGTGAGGAAAGAAAAAAGGGTCAAAATAGGCACACAAATGTTAAAATTAGTTGTGTAAAGTTACAGCGCAGGGCAGCCAGGACTAGAGAGAGAGAGACCAGAGAGAGACCAGAGAGAGACCAGAGAGAGACCAGAGAGAGACCAGAGAGAGACCAGAGAGAGATAGAGACCAGACAACAGAGTGAGACCAGAAAGGGAGACCAGAGACAAGAGAGAAACCGGAGAGAGAGCAAAGAAAGAGAGATCATAGTCCAAAGAGAGAGAAAAAAAGAACAGACACCAGAGAGAGACCAAAGAAAGATAGACCCAGAGAGAATAGAGAGAGAGAGACCAGAAAGAGAGACCAGAGAAAGAAAGAGAGTCCTGTGATAGATGGATAATAGATAGATACTTTATTGATCCCCGTAGGAGAAATTCAGGTGTCCAGCAGCAGAAGGAACAAAGGATCTCTTGAAACGTTCCGTTCGGCAGCGTAGTGATAGGAGCCTGTTGCTTCAATGACTCCTCTGAGCGGCCATAGTGTCATGCAGAGGGTGTCTGGAATTACCCAGGATGCCCTGCATTAGAGCCCTCATCCTTCTCTCCAGCACAGCTCTCACTGAGTCCACACTTCTCCCCGTCACAGAGATACTTTTCCGGATCAGCCTGTGGAGCCGGTTACTCTCTCTCGAGGTCAGACTGCCGCCAACACGCAACCCAGAAGAACACGGCACTAGCTACCACAGACTGGTAAAAAATGTGCAGCATTTGACTGCTCACATCAAAGGACCTCAGTCTACTCAGAAAGAAAAGTCTGCTCTGACCTTTCTTGTAGATGGCATTGGCCTGAGCTGACCAGTCCAGTCTGTGGTCCAGGTGGACTCCCAGTCCAGTCTGTGGTCCAGGTGGACTCCCAGTCCAGTCTGTGGTCCAGGTGGACTCCCAGTCCAGTCTGTGGTCCAGGTGCACTCCCAGTCCAGTCTGTGGTCCAGGTGCACTCCCAGTCCAGTCTGTGGTCCAGGTGGACTCCCAGTCCAGTCTGTGGTCCAGGTGGACTCCCAGTCCAGTCTGTGGTCCAGGTGGACTCCCAGTCCAGTCTGTGGTCCAGGTGCACTCCCAGTCCAGTCTGTGGTCCAGGTGCACTCCCAGTCCAGTCTGTGGTCCAGGTGGACTCCCAGTCCAGTCTGGTGGTCCAGGTGGACTCCCAGTCCAGTCTGTGGTCCAGGTGGACTCCCAGTCCAGTCTGTGGTCCAGGTGGACTCCCAGATATCTATAGGATTGAACCACTTCGATGTCCTGTCCATTTTCTGTGACCGGTCGATGTATTATGTGTAATAGCATGATGTAGTATTATATCGTTTTGACACTATGACAGTTTTTTTACTTTTAAAACAAAATGTTGCCAATAAATGAGTTCTGGTAAACTCTGAAGTGACGTTTGCAATCCCAATGTTTTGTTTGTAACCACATTCAAATAAACAACTTACGTTGCAATCGCCCCATTTCCACCAGCCCTACAACTGGTTCACGAGCGCTGTTACTATGGCAACCACTGCTTCTGCCGGACGCCCAAGTGGGATCATGACGGGTCAAATGCAGAGGACAAAGGGATAAGTAAAGTGCACATTTACATTCACACATTTATATTTCTTCTGACCGTGCACACAGCCACATCCAGAGCTCTTCATCCTTTCCCTTCACACGGTTCTTATCATTGTGCATTGGAGCCTTGATGGTGTCCTCTCCTTGTCCAGAACCTGCGGAGTAAGCAGACCTCCGCCTCTGTCACCAACGTCACACACACAAACGCTGAATCACGGCCCAGCTCCAGCGGCGAGCGGCGAGTGGGAGGACGGACTCTATAGGATTCAGAAAGGTGGATGTGAGACTGTGCTCAGAGAGATAAGGCCGAGATCTGTCACAAACACACTCACATTGATGAGGGCGACCGCTGTTTGTCATTTGTTCAGACTTCCCTTCCCCAACACTGTCCTACGCCAGAAGTCCCAGAGCAGTCAAGTTGACGGCTTTCCGTTTAGGAAGTGCAATTATTTAGTGTACTTTCTTGGTCTTCATAACTTGATGTACTGTAAAGGTGAGTTCTCCCTTTAACTCTTCATTTTGGCTCAGCTCCCTCTTTACCACAATGATCCGATAAAGCTCTGACTGCAGACGCTGCTCCCTCTTCACCACAACAGTCCAATACAGCGACCACATCACTAATCACTACACACTCTGCACCGATCCGCCTGTCAAGCTCACGCTCCATTCTTCCCTCACTCGTGAACAACACCCTGAGATACTTCAATCAATCAATCAAACTTTATTTATAAAGCGCTTTTCATACAATAAAATGCAACACAAAGTGCTTTACAGCTGAGTCAAAATCAATACAACATACCCAATAAACCCCAAAGACCCACCCATCAACCACCCTAATTATTATACATACATCGAGATGCATATACCCGTACACACGCACGCACGCACACACACACACACACACACACACACACACACACACACACACACACACACACACACACACACACACACACACACACACACACACACACACACACACACACACACACACACACACACACACACACACACACACACACACACACACACACACACACACACACGCACGCACGCACGCACGCACACACGCACACGCACACGCACACACACACATAAAATCACAACAGACAGGTAAAATAGGTAAAACTATGAAAAGATATAGGGCTGGGTACGGATGTATCCAGCTGAAGAAGCGCCATCCAGGGAGCCATCTGCACCAGGAGTAGAGAGCCGCTTGCAGCCACAGGGGACGACACAGGACCCGGAAGAGAGAGGAGGCCCCAGGCCCCCACTAGATCCAAAAGCCGGACCCCCGCAGCCACAGTAGACTGCCGCTCCCAGTGCAGAGGAAACACTGGGAATACTAAAACCATACAATAAAGAGTAAAACAGCAACCTAATATTAAGTGACAAAACAGAATGCATAAAATTAAATAAATAAATAAGAACCAAAATAAGATGTGTCTAAAACACAATAAATACTAATCAAAAGCTAATCTAAAAAGGTGCGTCTTGAGCCTACTTTTAAAAATATGAACGTTCTCTGCGGCCCTGAGCTCCTCCTCAGACTGTTCCAGAGACGGGGGCTGTAGTGCTGGAAAGATGCCTCGCCGTGAGTGTGTGTCCTGACTTTGGGGATGGTTAGGAGTCTGCTGCCGGAGCAGGGGCCGGGAAGGTTCATAGAATAAAAGCAGTTCTGAAAGATAAGAAGGCCCAAGACCATTAAGACATTTAAAAACCATTAAAATAACCTTAAAATCGATCCTGAAACACACAGGGAGCCAATGCAGCGATTTTAAAACCGGTGTAATGTGGTCCCGCCCCCTGGTCTTAGTCAGGACACGTGCGGCCGAGTTTTGGAGTAATTTTAAACCTGAAATATTCTTTTTGGGAAGACCAGAGACCCGGGCATTACAGTAGTCAATGCGACTGGTGATAAAAGCATGCATCAGCGTCTCCGTGTTGCCCCGAGAGAGAATGGGGCGGACTCTGGTGATGTTCTTTAAATGATAAAAACCTATTTTTGTGATGTTCTTGATGTGAGGAATAAAAGTCAGCTCAGAGTCAAAGATTACGCCCAGGTTTTTCACTTGTGATGATGGATTAAAAGAGTGTGATTGGAGTTTTGGTAAAGGTTTCTCTCTCTGGGCCTCAAGACCGATGACTAAAAACCTCAGTTTTGTCCTAGTTGAGCTGGAGAAAGTTTTCTGCCATCCAGGATTTCAGGTCTAAAATGCAGTTAAAAAGAGCATCCATTGGCCTGGTGTCGTCAGGAGACATGGAGATGTACAGCTGTGTATCATCTGCATAACTGTGGAAGTCAATTCCATGTCTCCTGATGACACCGCCAAGAGGGAGCATGTACACGTTAAAAAGGACTGGACCTAAAATGGAACCCTGGGGCACACCACATGTGATTTTATGGACCTGAGAGGAGCAGGTATCCAAACTTACCATGAAGGATCTGTCTGTTAAATAAGAAGTGAACCATTTGTGGACAGCACCAGAGAGGCCGAGGTGTTTCAGGCGTGATAAAAGAATGGTTAACAGAGTGATGTTAGCCAGCTGAAGCTACAGGTGGCTAAGCTAACTCAAAAGATAGATGACTTGGAAGGACGACAACGTCGATGTAATGCTCGCATTATTGGACTGAAAGAAGGCTTGGAAACGTCTGGTAAACCCACAGAAGTGATTGCCACTATGCTGAAAGAGCTACTGAGTCTCGAATTTGTCCCGACATTAGACCGTGCACACCGCAGCTTGCGGCAGCAGCCTAAAGATGGAGATCCGCCCAGGGCGATTGTGGTGAAATTTCACTACTTTCAAGAAAAGGAGCAAGTATTCCGGAGGGCAAGTTCTGCACCAATGTTTCTACAGGGCAAGAAGATAAGTATCTTTCCCGACTACACCTCTGATGTAGCCAAGAAACGAGCTGCCTTTTCGGAGGTTAAGCGGCTTCTCCGGAGCTGCACAGATGTCAGATTTGGGCTTGTTTACCCTGCAACACTCTGCATTACTCCGACGTCGGGTCGAGAGCAGCGCTTTACGGATCCATCGGTAGCAACAGACTACATCAAGAAAGAACTTCTCGGGGAAGACCATTCATAAAGAGTACAGATGACACAGCCCACGATGGTGAGTCGCTGAACAGAAGATGGGGCGCTTCCAAGCCCCGGCGATCCAAGATGGCGCCCTATTCAAATGAATGGTTGTGCTCAGTGGCGCTTTGTGACGGCATGGGGGCTGAAAGATTAGCGGAAGTTGCCTGGAACTCTCAAAGATCTATGGGAAACTCTCAAAGATCTATGGGAAACTCTCAAAGAAATATGGGAAACTCTCAAAGATCTATGGGAAACTCTCAAAGATCTATGGGAAACTCTCAAAGATCTATGGGAAACTCTCAAAGATCTATGGGAAACTCTCAAAGATCTTTGGGAAACTCTCCTGTATTTGGGCATCGTCTGGTCCTCCCGGTTCTGTGCAGTGGATGATCTCCCATAATGCTTTGCACCAAACACACGTGTGTGGGTCTCACACCGGGTCTCATGCACGTGCACAGAGGGGCTCGGCCGCGCTGTGACCAATCAGAGCAGTTCATCAGAGCGGGAGTTAAGCCTGGTTCACACGAGACAATTTTAAAATTGTCGGCCGATTTTTCTCCGTGTTAAACCCCACACGGGGAGATTAAAAATCCTGCGTCTAACCACTTTGGTCGTGCAGTGTGTGGTGCGTAGCCACACGGCAAGATCACGCAAGCCACAAAAATCTCTCGAGATCAAGCGTGACTTCAGAGTAAACAGTCATGGCGGACGAAGAGGATGCAGTGGCGATAGTGTGCAGTTTGTTGTTAACAGAGAAGACACGTAATCCAAAGAAAAGGCAATGGTCAAAGCCATGCTGCTGTGTTTTGTTTTTTTTCCGGTGTTTCCTCACCGGCTTGTCACCTCGTCTTCTTATTGGCTACACGCCGAAGTCATGGCAACGCGCTCGCTTGTCCTCGGGGGACACCACACACGACGAGAAATCGGGCCAAAACAATCCAACATGTTGGATATCCCCGATTTGAGATCGGGAGCAGTCCCGATGTCCTTCCGAGCGACGAGTGCAGTCTTAACACACCACACACGGCAGGATAATCTGTAAGATTTTGTTACGGAAATCGGAGGGTTTCTTAAGATTGTCGTAAGGGGTAAATCGGGTCTAAATCGGCCTAAATATCCTGCCGTGTGAACCAGGCTTTAGAGCAAGAGCCAGAGGAGTAGAGTTTGTGGCACTAAAGTGTGGATTTAAACAAAACCCAAGGATTTAAGAAGAAAAAAAGTTCAGGATGACAAGGGACACTAAAATCCCCACAAAATCCGACCTTTATGAAAGCTGTAGGTTCTCTGTCAGCTGAGATCGAGCTATTTTAATATGCATTCAGTCCTATGGGGAAAATTTCTGGGTAGCCCACGTGAATTTAGTCTGGTTCAGTCTGCAGTACCGCGAGAATCCCCCGAGCACATGAGTTATTCAGCTACAAGCTAGTAATACCCTATCCAGTTAATATAATAGATCCAAGGGCGCTTCACACGGACAGCGACAGGTCCATTAGGTAAAATAATCTGTGATGGACATTTTAAGTTCTTTCTCTTTTTTTTTTCGTTCTTTGCTTGTTCTTGATGTTTTCTAGTGATATTCTAAAAACAAAATTCTTGCCTTTTTAGCTATTGTAAGAGTTGTTTTCTTTTTTTATTATTGTTATTATTATTATTTATTCTCACTTATTTGTAGTATTAGTTGTATCTACCTACTTGATTTTGTAAAGGAGAATGTTATATAATATATATATGTTTTTGTATATATATGTGTAGGGATATGTTTATTTACATATATATATATATATATATATATATATATATATATATATGTATATGTATATATCTATATATATATATATATATATATATATATATATATGTATATGTATATATCTATATATATATGTATATATCTATATATATATATATATATATATATATATATATATATATATATATATATATATATATATATATATATATATATATATATATATATATATATATACACACAAAGTTCATAGTGTTTGCCCCGTAGCGGGGCACTTGAGGAGTTGTAGGATGTTTAGCTGTTGCGTTTTGCTAGCAATCAGGGATGCAATCTCTAGTTTTATTTTATATAGTAGATCAGCACAGGGTTTTTATTTTTGCCTCCTGTTTGGTTTCTTTTGTTTTCTTGTTTTATTGGGCAGAAACAACTGTATTTTTATTTTTCTATTGTATTATAGATTTAATTTTACAATACACTTAAAGACCTTATGCCGGGTTTGATTTATTTAGAAATACAGTTTTAATACCATTTTATATTAGAAGAGAACTACTAAAGGTTTCAAAATCAGTTGTTTTTTTTTGTCTGATCCCCCCAAATTGAAATAACCCCATAGCAACGCCCTTAGAGACGAAAAAACGTCACAGCCCTTGGTGACGTCAGAGTGGGTACGTTTCAACGCTGTAAGTTGTTTACAATTTGGAATTCGTTCTTTTTTCGCGGATATTCAAGATGACAAGGCTGTGTACAGCGAGTGTGACATAAATACTAGACTGTAACTCTTCGTCAGCACTGAGGAAGTCCTCCCTGTCGCTCGTAGATCGTGGCTCCTCGGCCAATTACGTAGCAGTGCGTCTACCAAGATTCGACCAATCCAAAACAAGTTAGCCACAAATGAACCGTGATTCCAGCCAATCGCTTGCCGCAAAGCAACCAAGATTAGAGAGCACCGATGGCACGCGAACATTATTGTGTCGTTATTGAGGACTGTACGGGTAGTAGTCAACGCGAAGTTAAACCAGGTTTTCCACCAGGACGATGCCCAGCTGATTCACAACGAAGTTGGAGACGTCAGTATCTTTTAACTTTCGGGACTTTTTTAGAGATTGGTGAGTAAACAAACAGTGATTATACGTGTGCTACGACGGCGACATTACATATGTTAGCAGCGCAGCGTACTGTAGACCTACAGTACGTTCGTATATATTGTTAACGATAAAGATAAACACATTTATTCTCCCAAATGTTAGGAACGAGGTAATAAGACTGTTGTGTCGTGCTAACGTTATATACAGCGATAACTCCGTCGTTAACACACAACAGGCCCGTCATACGTATAATAACCAAATGTTTAATTGCTTTGTAAAATACACGTATGTATATATGTATATATACATGTAGTACATGTATGCATATACCAGTATTAGTATTAGTATTGTTCTGAACAAGTGTAATGACAGTAAAGTTTAAACTAATCTTCATCTTTAGGCCTTCAAATGGAGCCACGTTTTCGTAAAAAATCAACACCAAGTCTCTCAGATTCTCATGAAGCCACGAGAGTCAAACGTGAGAACAGACCATGGTGCAAACCTCTTTCTTCACAGGAAGTGCTAGACAAGGCTAAGAAATCCATTTCACAGTGTAATGGAGACCCAAATAACAGAAAACATTTACTTGGTTTCTTTGAAATCCAGTTTGGTATTTATCGGGGACCCTTTGCTCCTGGTACCACTGCTCCTGGTCCCTCTGCTCCTGGTACCACTGCTCCTGGTACCACTACAATGCCAAAGCTGCGGACGGCTCCTGTTTCCTCTCTCCGCTCCCTTTTGGTCGGGAAGGCAAAGGAAGCCAGAAGTCTGTCTCGGGACATTAAGAGGCTTGTTGGTCCAAGTACAGTCACACCATGTAAGTAGACTTTGTGTGTAACACACAGGAGGATGCGATCTATAAATATGTGTTGTTTTGTTGCAGCTTTGGCGAGTGCACGCACGAGGCAGCCACAAAGAGACTTGTCTTCCTCTTTGAGTGACACAGCAGCAGCTTCTCGTGTGCTCTCTTCAGAGTCCATCCCTGCAGAGCAAGATGATGCTGAACTTATGGAAGCGGCCGCTCGGGCGGAGGAACAACATATAAGTATGCACTGTTCACACCTGCACAAGATCTATATTTAGTTAAAGTACAGTTACATGTTACAGTCTCTATTTTGTGTATAAGTGCTGCTGTCAAAAATGTATTTCAGTAAAAGTAGCATACAAACAATTACTTCTGAAACTACTACTTACTACATAAGTTACTTTTGAATGCATATTTTAGATGTATTTATTTAAAAACAATAGTTTTGAAAGAAGCAGATACACAGATAAAGCAGATACAGATTTGAAATTGAGATATTTACTGCTTTGTATTTTGTTATATAGGACCCAGAGTTTGCTTGCCTGCTGGGTGGCAAAAGACACTTCCAGAAGTTGACCAGCGCTGGATTGCAAAAGAACTGTTTCATTGGTCCCGCACAAATCAGCCAGAGCTAAATATTGATAAAGTGGACAGAATGTGGTGGTATCCTCCTCGTCCTCCATTATGTTCCAGTGCAGTGCCTTCATTTGAGCAATACTTTGGCCACCCCCTGTTTCTGTGGATGCCACGAAAGCTTTGGAGGGTGAAACTTCTCTGTCCTCACTCTGAACGTGGCAAAACAGAGCTCACATCTGCAGGAATCTATCAGAAGGTTCGGCAGGTGGTTGGTGTGAGCACGTGTTATTACATGGCATCAGAATACCTTGCATGTAAAACCTGAAAATGGAAAGTGATTGCTTGGAGTCATTCCATTGTTTCACAGCTTGACATCGGTCATTGCATTCAGTTTCCCTGTCAGCTGACATTGAAGCTTGGATGTGACATTGAAGTTGTCCGTCTTATGCGCCAGAGAGGTTTAGGCAACAGCAGCAGTCAACTTAAAAGACAACTTCAGGAGCAGCATGCAGAGAGGTGGTTAGAGCAGCAAATTAAATTCCTCACACAGTACAGAGGAATTGCCCAGGCTGTGGCGAGCAGACTCATTTTACCTGTTCCTCCTGTGGATCTGCCACCTATGCCCATTGTGCCAAAACACCGCTGGTTAATGCAGGTTTATGCACAAGATGTCCTGAGCAGATTAGGAGAGGTAAAGGCTTCCATCACATCCCTGTCTGGGCAGGTACTGAAACTGGACTCAACAAAAAAGATTGTGAGGAAACTAGCTGGTTCTGCTCGTTCTACTGCTGCCTGGGCTGCAAATGTTGGCAATGAGTTTGGACAAGTCATCATGTCTGTGCTCACAGCGAGTGAGGGCTGGGGACTTGCAAAAATGGCAGAGGGCCTTGTAAATCGATACAAACAGGCCAACTTTGCTCCCCCACGAGTACTTTACACAGATCGAGACTGCTGTAAAAACTCCCACTTGCACAAGATCTTTGGTGGTTGGCCAAACCTGTGCATTCGCCTGGATGTGTGGCATTTCATGCGGAGGATTGCTGTTGGATGTACCACAGACTCACATCCACTGTACAGTGGCTTCATGGCTCAGCTGAGCCGCTGCATATTTGTGTGGGACCAGAGTGATCTTCAGCGGCTCATTGAGGCCAAGCGTGCTGAGCTTGAGGCCTGTCATTTACATCCATCTGATGATGACGTGAGGAAGAGCATCACAAAGAAAGAGATGCAACTTCATTGCAAGAGAGCTGTGCGGCCAGCTGCAGAGATGGAGGTCATGTTGGGACAGTGACTTGCAGCCTATGATGGAGGTCGTGGCTGCAACTCTCTGGGTGTGCCACTGATAAACTCTGCCAGAATGAAAGAGATCTGGAAAGCACAACGCCGCCACATTCCCTGCCTCCAGGACCCACCAGGCTTCCAGCTTTACACCCAGACTGGCACAGTCACCAAGGCTGGCCATGTTCTTCCCACATATCGTTGTGCTCGTGGTTCTACATCTCTGGAGAACTTCCACTTACACATGAATCGCTTCATCCCAGGTGAAACTAAAGAAATAACAAGAATATATTAAACAAACACCAATATTAATTTAATGATTTCTATTAATGCAATATTTTATTGTACATATGTTATTTTAGGCACACTGGCAAGTGACACATTCTTCCAGGCCTATTTGGTGGTTCAATGGCAGCTCAGAGAGAGGACAAACCTCACTCCTACAGTGGCCTTCTCAGATATGCCGTTAACCAGCTATCACAAGAGATTTATGGAAGACCAATGCTGGACTCTGTGCCAATGAAATACACTGGTACGGCTATAACACGTCAAATAGAATAATGTTGCTCTGACTGCCACCTCCTGACCCAGAAATGGATAAAGGGGAAGAAGATGGATGGATGGATAGATTTTTGTATGTTATTATTGTGTTTAATCAAATCATAATCAAATATTTTGTCTTTTAGGAGAACTCATAGGCATTGAGTATTTATATGATCAAAATAATACTGTGATGGAGGATTATAAAATTACTCTGGCATCGATGGAAATGGAGGACATTGATGCACTTTCTGATGAAGAGCCTGAGGTACAACCCATTGATGTGGAGGATCCAACTGTGCCATCCATGGACATCATTTGGCCAAATCAGCATAACACACCATTATCCCCTGAAATCTTGAATCCACAACCTAAAGCCTGTGAGGCGTCTGCTGCTGCTGTTCATCCACCTGATATACCTGAAACTCCTGGGTCTGTCTTTTCACCTGCCTCTACAACCTCGGCAGTTTCTACTGCAGTATCTGTAGCTAGTACTTCTGTAGCTAGTACTACTGCTGCCTCTGTAGTCAGTACTACTGTCACCTCCTCACTGTCTGCCACATCTTCCCTCATGCATCCTTCTGCCTCATCCATGCCCTCTGCATCGCTAACAACTCTGAGTAGGTTTTGGTCATTTTGTAGAAATTAACAAGGTTACTTCTTTCATTTGTTGATACTTGTTTGTTTGTTCTTCTCAAGGTTCCTCACAGGATCCAAGCCTTGCAGATCAAACGCCATCACTTGGATCCACAATTTGTGATGTACTGTCCTTTTTTAACTGAAACTTATTGAAGTGCAGTATTATGTTATATATTATATACAATAACATTCACTGTAATGAATATGCTTGTGTTGTAGCAGTAGTCGGTTGGACCTGACAACATCCAAGGCTTCAAACAGGGGCAGGACTTAGTTGACCATCTTTTCAGTCTGAGGGATCATGGCTTGGCCTTGTCCAATGAAGAGGCTTTTAAAATTGTCACCTTATGGAGCCATTTGCAGGAGTATGACAAGAGCCGCACAGTTTATTCTCCACGCTTCCAAAACACGCTGACCAAAGGAAGATTCAGGGCAACAAAGACAACCGTTTCTCCTGGTGTGGAAAGTACAAAAAGTCAAGTATTTTAAATTTGATGTATAGGTCTATTCAAAGCATGTTAGTCTTACTAAATATATATAAAAACTATTTGTAAATCAATTTTGTGTTTGGGCAGGTGCTTTGCAGGTGGCAAAAGTCCAGCACAATGGCCAGACTGCAACAGAGTCTGTGAAGGCCTTTTTGTCCGGCTCTGTTGGGAATACAAAGGAGCACGTCGTTTTAAGGGAGTGAGGCAGGAGCGCTGGAGTTGTGTGATTAGGGATTATCTCCATATTCGGCAGATTGTACTAAACAATGCTACTGTAATGGAGAAAACTACCATTCAACTTCCAGTGATCAATACGACTACAGTTTCTAGTTGGTGAGTTTTCATACATAAAATGAGTCAATCTTATATTTAGTATGTTCTCATACTTTCTCAACTTAATGAACAGGTACAACAAACGTGAACGAAAGCAGGAGAAAAGTGTGCTTGAGCAAGGCATTTCTGCACCAGCTTCGGTGTTTGACCTCTGCAAACCTGCTGCCTGCTGTTATGGCCAAGCCTCTCACTCCCAGTGCAGACAATCCCCATGTGTTTGTACTTCCCCCTGACACTGCAGGGACGGCTCAAATCAAACACAGGCACACTCCATCCACCCATGTGCAGCCTCCTTTCCTTGCAGCACTCGAGCAACCTCCACAGTTTCTCCAGACAGTGAACCCAGCTCCACAACATGCACTAGTCCCTCGATTGATCAGGCCCCTTCCAGCACCTCAACTTGTCCCTCCTCCAACAATAAGATTGCAACCATCGCCAGCCCCTGGACCACTCAAGCCAGTATCCATCATTGGCCAACCTGTTTCACAAATAATGCAACTGACACCCCCTAATTTGCATTTTCCTTCCCCAGTCATCATGCAAGCACCTCGATTTATCCTGCCAGCCCCACAAACACTTCCTTCTACAGATGTTCCATACACTACACAACTGTATCAAAGAAAAAAGCAGAAGGAGGAGAGAAAGTGGAAAGAGAAAGAGGAGCTATGTGAGAAAAAGTGACACCATACTTTGCAAACAGTGTGGGAAGAACCGAGACCCTAACTCTCATCACCAGTATTTTGGAAACTGGTATTGTGAAGCCACAGCTGCCCAGAGTCTGGATGAGTGGAGAAAAGAGATGGAGGGACGTGGTTATGGCCAGAAAAAGGACAAAAAAAAGGAATCTTAGTGTGTAGTGTGTACCATTGTTCATGTGAATATTTTGATTTTATGGAGTAGTTTGTAGAGAATTTAGTAAAAAATAATAGTTTGTTTTTATCTTCTAATGTTCAAATCATGACTTGCACTGCAACTGTTAAGCTGCATCTCAATGTCAGAATGTCTTTAACTGCACTATAGACACATTTTGCACATGGTATGTCTACCTCCTCACTTGGTAATGTGCTTCCATTAGAAACACATTCCTTCATGTGCAATAACTATAATTTTAAAAGATTGTATTTATATCTGTAATTGTAATGTTCAAATATTGCTCTTTTTACTGTCAATTGCAATAAAGTTCATACTTCATACATTGGTATCTATATATATTTTTAATTCGTTAATATTGTTGCCAATTACCTTCTCTTTTTGTACTAAAAGAATATAATTTCAGAACAAACTTAAACAGACGCACCGTTGGGTTACGTCAGAATACGCGACTAGTCACATCTAGCGCCAGTTTGACAAACCTCATTTAGAACATGAAAATGTTTAGACTGCTCTAAAGCACCGCTTGGTATGTTGGTTTTCAATACCCAGGAAGAAAAATTAACACTTTTGGGTTGTTTTAATCAACCTCCGAGATGCTGTCCTCGGGATTCGAACCCGCATTTACATGACAATGTTGGTTGCTAGAAGCGCGACTAATACGTCATTTTCTTGGCGCAGTGGTTGTGTCGATGGACTGTCAATCCAGATACTGGGGTTCAAATTCCACCTCAGACACTTTTTCACTCTCAAACGGCAATGTATGTGTAGTGAGCAATTGTCACCTGTAGAGTGCAGTATTGTGTTGGGCATCAGTGGAGAGAAGAGAGAAAAGGCAGTCCTGTTGCATAGATCCATGGTTTTCAATGCATGGGCGTTACCCGCTGTGACGTCACACACAGGTTAGAGCATAGACAACTTAAATTCATGAAAAACACGTTCTTTTTATAAAATATAGGATTTTTTTTGCCGGAATCTCTTTCAGATTGACATTGTCATGCAATTTTGATATCCACAAATTTTTTTTTTTAAACCCGACATAAGGTCTTTAAATAGGTGATTTGCAGGGCAACACATGTCTCCGTTTTTTAAGTTGGAATGTTAAGGGTATTAATAATCCAATTAAACGATCCAGAGTTTTTGCACATTTAAAATCATTAAAGTCTGATGTGATGTACCTACAGGAAACGCATCTCCGTTTGACTGAAGAAAATAGACTTAAAAAACCTTGGATAGGGCAGATATTTAGCTCAAAGCACGATGCTAACTGCTAATTTACACATCACGCGTTACAGCACGTACGCGTTATACGCGCAGCAGACGCGGGTAACTTTTTTCCATGTTAACCTATGATGATATTTACACTTCTGTAAATAGTTCTGGCATGCGCCTCCTGTACTGGCGACCCCGCTCCCATCTCTGTGTGGAGTGAGAGACAAATGCCCAAAAATTAACAATTGTAAACCGCTTTGAGACTCAGATCTGCAGTGAAAAGGCGGTATATAAATAAAAAAACTTACTTACTTACTTACTTCTAGCGTTATACGAGCGTATGACGGACGTATGACGCGAAGCTGCGCTCTAATTTAGGATGGAATTCTAATTTTGTGCGCGCACCAACGCGTCTCCCATTGAAATCTCATGTAAAACATGATTTTTCTAGCGGTCCTTGGCTCTAGATCGCAGTATACGCACACACACACACACAGCACTTGTTTAGATACTAAACATCAGCAGGAGGAGCAGCAGGTTTTACAGTGAATCTGGACATCGTTTTTTTTTCTTTCATAAAGTCTCGCGTCTGGCCAAACCAGCGCACAGAGACCATGGAGACAAACACATGCATGTGATTTGTGTTGCTCTACATCAGTCCTCTGGCCCGTACTGTCCTCTGCACTGCTCCATAGACTACACAGGGAGAACATTAGAAGACGCGGACCTGCGCGCACGGCCTGTGTAGATACTCCAAAAAAATGTTACGCGCAGAGAGCGCGCAGTAAACGCGTACGCGCTGTTTACGCCTACTGTGTAAATTCCCTGTAAGACAAGAGGGACTGCTATTTTGATTAGAAAGGGAATTCCTTTCATTCCACTAACAACAATTGCAGATAATAGAGGTAGATATATCATCGTGAAAGGTAAA